AACAAGATTGTTGCCTTTGAGCTTTTTTTGTTGGAATATCGAGTGTATACTCCAAGTAACGAAGTTGAAATACTAGACTGCATTCAGTGTCCCTCGTTGGAACGAAGAAAACCTACTCGCTTTCGAACTCAGTACTACCAGAGTACGTTGCGATTGGGATAATCCGATTACCTGTGCGCTTGTTTGTACCGAAGCTAATGAACTGCCCAAAATGTAAGCTACTAGGGCACATTGCGGCCTTCTGTGGTAACAAGCCACGCTGTGATCAATGTGGGAAGAAACATTTGGAGGGTTCTTGTCGTGCCTTCAGCAAGGAGAAAGTGATAAATGGCCATTGCTCTCGTCGATCATCATCTTTGTTGCTGTCGTGGCGTGGTCCTCGGGTGTACAGCTGTGCGCGGCGTAACCTCAACTTTGGTGCACTTCTATAAGTGCCTCCAAATGCTTGCACAATTCCTTAGATTTGTTTTCACGGATTAACTTCACTTTCGGTTTACGAACCGATAGTTCTGCACTGTTATTCACATTACTGGTTTTAATCGAGGCCTACCTAGGCTGCGCCAATTACGGCCGCGTTCGGGATTTTTTTTTATCATTGGAAGGAGAATCTTTTTGCTCCCGTGAATCTCGCGTAAGTGTCTCTGCATACGTTTCTGGCCCTTCATACAATGGTAAATTGAATACAACCAGGTAGCGTACTTGATCAAGTCAAACGGGGTGGACAGTTCATCGTCTAATGGCTGTGCCCTGCAACAATGAGTGGTATTCTTTACATACAATACAAGCATACACTTATTTCAGTAGTATAGATGGAGCTTATTATTTATTATTATTGCATCGCTCAAACATAATTAAAAAACACTAATAGTAGTATACATAAGTCCGTTACAAATTTTATTATTACTTTTTTGCCAAAAATCTCATTTCGATCAGGAGGGGCAAAAAAATAATAAACATATAATTTTTAAAATATTTTTTTATTTTCAATCCAAAAATACAGGGATACTTCATTTGATAGTTGATATTCATGCTTCAGCTTTCAGAATCTTGCTAGACAATAAACTTTTTACAGCAAAATTTTTAAAAATAATTCGAGAATGGGTTCACTTAACAAAGAGAACATCTACGAAGTGGGAGTTCAATTTGCGCTCTAATCGGGGAGTATTTTCGTAGACACAAATCAAGGCATACTTTGATCAAATTTACACAGCAATCAATTTTACGGATGTTCGGGATCTTCTGGCGAACCATATGGAGACCACTCGTAGCTAATGCCCAGCTAATATTTATGTAAAAACAAACACAATTCCATATAGTTGCAGAGAAAAATCAAGGCCTCTTTTGAACACATTTACGCAGCAATTAATTTTACGGATGTTCCGGACCATAAACCATAAAATATATTTTCATGCAAAGAAAATTCAAGGCCTACTCTGATCAAATTAACGAAGCATTAAATTTTAGGAATGTTCCAAATTTTCCGGTGGGACATCTAGAACTTTGAACCAATTGATGACTGGCTAATATTTCATTAATCACAATTTTACTACATGCCATATAGTATCAGAAATCAAGGTCTACTTTGACCAAATTTACATTGCAATCAATTTTACAGATATTCCGAATCTTTTGACGGGTCATTTGATGACCAATCGGAGCCAGCTAATATGTCAAAAATCACAATTCTCGCGTCACTTTTCAAATAGACCAATGTAACATATCTGCCATTTAGAGAAAATCGAAGTTGAAGTTCGACAGATTATTATTTTAAATGTTTAGAAACAATACATTTTGTAATACTATTTTTACTTTTCACTTTCAGAAATACTTCACTTTGCAACCGATGAACCATTCTGACGGCCATATGAGTACCCAAGTAACCATATAGTCGCAATATAGCTTGTATATTCTTGCTTTGCTTGAGTATGGTTAGTTGGGGAATCTGATGAAACTGTCACTTCTTGAAGCTAATTCCTTTCGTATTTCTTTCATTCTCTTTTCGCACACGGAGTGCTCGGTGGACCAGCGACTTTGGACGTGAGCCTCGTCCCAGATCACCATGGCAATTCAATGCCAGATGGTGGACATGAAACCGACCAAAAAAGGCGGAATCATATTAGAACCAACCAAGGACGATCTACGGAAGGAAATTGCCGGTGAAGCACGGAATGAAATACGAAGCGTTAGAGAAAAAGTCTAAGGGATTCCAAAAGAATCAATTAACGACGGCGGAAGAGCAGAATATGGTGAGAGTTTTCCAATTAGTAAAAAAAATATATCAAAATTAAACTAAATACATGCCAGGTTTGAAAATAATATTTTCGAAACTGGAATCGTGTATATATAACCAATATCCATTTGATAACGGTGATGCATACATGCGGGGCCTATTGTGAGTGAAAGTGACCTCGGAATGGGCGTGACTCTCTAGACATTCTGAAATGGGTTGATGGATCTGCAATAGAGGTATCACCGGACTAAAGCTGTCTACAATGACCATAAATGCGGCATTGTAGAGAGAGTTCTTCCATAATAACACTGCCGGCCAGTGGGGGTTAGAGGGAATACACACACACACATACAATAACAGAATAGCAATATTGTATAAATTGTATCGAATAACTCGAATTGTTTACAATTGTTACATGGGTCTATTTGAAAAGTGACGCGAGCATTGTGCTTCATTCCATGCAGTTGTTGAAATAAATCAAGGCCTCCTGTTACGTTTACTGTGAAGGCAAAATGTAAAGTTAGGAAGGTGAATCGAATTTTGTCTCCGGTAAAACGTGTGGAATTTCTGCTTCTGATCGGTGTGGTGTAGTGCGGTTTGGTGCGTGTCCACGGGAAATCGGTCCCTGAAAAGGAGCTCGGCCAACGTCCTATTGAGCGGTCCACGTAGATCGGAGAGATCGGAGCGGGTTAGCGACAATTTGCCCGAACAAAACCACATCGCGTGGCAAGCCCAGTAAGAGTTGGAAAAACGTTCTCGAGTGGCGACAGAAGGAGTGGAGCTCGTTCTTAAACACCTTGGACGATTTTCGAACTTGGCCTTCATTATGGCCCAAAATCTTTCCACCGGACGAATCTCTGGTGAATTTGGGGGTTGGCGGTTTTTGGTACAAAAACAACGTTATTGTCTCTGTACCAATCCAACGTCGATCGCGCGTAATGGAATGATAATATCTCGCCTTTGTGGGACCGCAGGAAGGGCAACAGACGCTTCTGGAGGCACTCGGTGCGGTAAATTTCGCTGTTGATGGTACCCATTGTGATGTACGGTTTACTCAGTTTACCGCATTGGCATATGGCCTGCCAGAGCAAGTATTTTTTGGCGAATTTGTCCACTTTCTTCTTCCTTATGTCTTCCGGAACATCAAATCGTGATTTGGCAACGTAGAACTCCAGCCCCTGTATCTGCTTTGCGTCTGCCTTGATGTAGGTTTCGTCATCCATAACCACACACATCGGTTTCGTTAACCACTCTCGATGCAGCTTCTTTGCGCGGGATTTGGCCTCCGTGTTTTGTTGATCACGCCGGTTCGGTGCCTTCCGGACCTTGAATACACAAAGCCCAGCTCGTTTGATGGTTTGCTGAACGAACCAGGCGGAACACTTTGCCTTCAGAGCCACGTCGCGAATCGAAAGGTTCGGATTACCCTTGAAATAATCCAACACCTTCCGGGCCTTCACAGGGTCAGCTGTCTTCGATTTTCATCCACTTCCAGCCCACCACTCGGTCATCTGGGACTCCTTAAACGATTTTACCACCCGAGATACAGTTGTATGGGTGGCTCCCAGTTGTCTTCCGATCCATCTCATAGTCGCAGTCAGATTTTCCATGACGGCGCGCAAAATTCTACGGCGATTTTCTTCTTGTTTCGATGACATCTCAATAACCACTGAACCGATTGTTATGAAATTTTGCACATGTAAACAATTCACTCCAAACTAGTTATACCCAGATTTTCATCAATTTTTACCCACAGATAAAAAAGTTACACACGGATAAAAATGGTGCATTTTTTTCGAGTACAAGCCTTACTTTGATCAAATTTACGCAGCAATCAATTTTACGGATGTTCCGAATCTTTCGGCGGATAATCTGATGACCACTCGGAGGCAATGACCAGCTAATATATCAAAAATCACCATTTTACTTCATTTCATATAGTTTCAGAGAAAAATCAAGGCATACATGGATCAAAAATACATTATACATTATATAAAGATTAAGTTTGATAACCTTCCGGTGTGAAATCAGTATTAAGAACCAGGTTGTGGATTGGTTTTGTAATTTTCCAGCATCACCTTGTTCTAGATGACTGATACCTTTTCTCCCCCGATGACTCTCGGAAACCCGGAATAAAACCGGAACCAATTGGCCAATCTATTCCAATTTTCAGTAGACCATAATTTCGAACATTTTTCTACTTTCTGTGAAGCTCAACCAATTTCATGGCGAAATAAAAAAGTTATACCCATGCAAACATTGCTATTTGTATGCCTGTTCGTAAAAATAAAAACCACGCAAAACGCGTTATCCCCCATTCAAACTTCAAGCCCTTTGAGGTGTTCCCGTGAACCAAATGACTTCAAATTTTGGTTTCTGACCCCAAAACTACCATTCCAGAGGGTAGCGTTTGAAATTCCAGACTTTGACTTATTCCATATAAGGCTGAAACACTCTAAACGGCAGGTATGATGGGAAGGCCACTCGCCAGTCCATGCAGTTTTTTTTTTAAATTTGTATAATGAATCGTCAACGCAGGTGGAGGGAGGGGGCCTAAAACATCTCAAAAACTATAACCGTGGTTTATAAACAGCAAGGCAACGCACCGCAACACCCGATCGATTCAACTTGTGATATGATCACTGTCTGACTAATATCCCTGATAAGCAACTACTGTAGTTATGTGAATACATATTTCGGACAATTAAATCATTTCCTTTGTAATTCTTTTTAGATAAACCGTCTTGTTTACTAGGCTTGTTAAAAAAATGTATTAGATAAATATTGAACACTTTGCGTACGAATTTTGATTCACTTTTTCGGTATCCTACGACGGTGCAGTCGATCGCATTTGACACAGTCGCACATCCAGCAAGTGTCGTGAAAGCAGGCGCCACATTTACTACATTTGACTACACGTTTTTGCCAAGGAAATATAATTTCCTTGCGATCACAGTTTTCGCAAAAGAACCCATGGGCAATGCAAAGCTATATTTGAGGAACGACAAGTGAAATATTTAGACTGGCAAGTGAAAAAATTAGGTTCTGAAGAGTTACTTACCTCACACTCAAAAATGTGTTTCTCACAGCGCTTGATTAATTCGGTCTTTTCCTTTTGAAATGCACCATTCCTAACGGAGATAAAATCCATCATGGACCAGCTGTCCAAGTCAGATGTTATGTGATCCGAAACGTTTTGAAAGAGGTCCTTCATCCTGAAAGCGGACACCAATTTTAGGTGACTTAAGGCAGACAAACAATATTGAGGTAATACTTACTCTTCTGCAAAACGGCAGTTAACGATGAAATCCCGGATGAACTTCAGATTCTTTCGAATGCTCCGCGCAATCTGTAGGACACGCACTTTTTCATACAGTTTCGGATTCAGGTGATTTATTCGATACAGAGGACATGCGATGATGTCGTTCAGCAAGCGATAGGCAAAGCTGCTAACTGGATGGAACGTAAAATCCCATCTGGAAAACATAAAAAGAATTCGTATTTAGCATGGTTACACGGATACAAACTAGAGCAATGCTACCGTTCGATAACTTTAGCTGGAATTGCCGACATTTGGTTCTTATGGCATCCGGAGCAATTGTACTTGCCCAAGTAGTGGCAATATCGGAATCGGCTGGAATAGGCTTGTGCCACTTTCATCCCACAGCCTGCGCATCGATTGTTCTGCTTCATCATTTGTGCTCGACGACTACAATGGAAAACACAAACAACATTATGCTATCAGTTATCCAGTTATGAGCTTCACAAAGCACTTATCGAATATTTGAGAATTCACAACAAAAAAAAAAGACTAGTGTTGAATTGTTTCGTTTTGTCAGTCAAATTTGGATTCCTTAGCAACAAAATTAAGGAATGACACCGATAATGACCATGCATCAGTACCCTAGTCTTAACCACTTCAAACTAGGGAACAACGGATAGAAGATTAGGAATCACATAGATGAAGACTAATAGCGAATTCGTTTATTATTCAGTTCCAACCTGGATCGGGTATCAAGATTGGGTCTGTTTGTTTTCTGACAAACGTCAGTTTGCTCGTTTGTTTTTAAAACCTAACTCAGGTTGAGGTTCGCACTGACAAAAAGTTCGGTTTCGCACAACTAACTCATTTTTCCTTATTTCAAGATCATCCTCGGTCCAAGCAACCCGAGGACTTATCACTATTAACAAGGCATAAACAGTTACAAGGACTAAGATGTGTTCCTTTGATTGCTGAAAAATCCTATTCCCATAGTTTGAAGTTTTTTTTTTTTTTTTTTTTCTTTATTTTAGAGATTTTTAGCCTGAGGCTAGTTCATCTCTATAGTTTGAAGTAGTCAGGACTAGGAATCGGTGGTAGATCTTACATCCCGTAACGTACCACGAAAAGGTGATCTACCCACGTCACGGGGCTTCTTTGGGGTTATATAACTAACTGTTGACAAGCCGTAACTTACTCTGGCCATGGGCTACAGTAAGTGAATATGATTTGCGGTCTCGGAGGTGCCCACTCTCGCGTCCCTCGGATGATCGTATTCAGTCCATTCAGATCGTCAGGATTCGCAATCTGTCCATCCGGTGGAATCGGCAGCAACTGTTGCGGTGCATCTTGCTCTGATACCAACCACAATAGATCGCATGCCGTGGGCAGTTGTTTTTCGTTGAACTTGGAAAGCAAACTGAGAGCAACACCTTCGGCCGAGTACGATTTAACGTCGTCGCATTCACTAGCTTCAACTGCCTCGAGATCGTCTTCATCGCCCGATGAACGATTCGCAATGTTCGATGAAAGTTGTCTCAAGTACTTCGAGTGTAACTCTCCAGATTCAACACTGCTGCCTCCACTGTCCGATAGCGATGAAACTGCAGTTGAGGTACTTCCTCTTGAAGCAGTAGAAGGACTAATGTTGTTTGTTACCTCTTCGTTTGTTTTATGGCCACCAGCAACATACGGTGGTGAACCGGGGTATGATGACCAAAAGTTTGAATTTGACGGAAGCTTCCGCAATGCACGACGTCCAATTGCTCCTTCCCCTTCATTCCACTTCAGTTGTTCGAATGTTGCAATAAGCGCTTCGGATAGACTGAAGTGGGCATTCTCCCGGTCCAGTTCAGTGTTGGTTCGGGAAAAATAGACGGTCTTGAGGAATGAGGTCAAACTTTGACCTGGAACGGGGCGGGAGGGAATTTCATTCAATATGCTTCCAACGCTCTTACTGTCGTTAGATTTGCTTATCTTTTCCCCACATTGCGGAATAAATTCATTCAAAAGGATCCTAGGGCTACCCGTCAACGTCGCCAAACTGAACAGGTCCGATTTCGTATGACCGTCTATCTTTTTACTTGCTGCATTGTTTTGCAAATTCTCGTACATTTGACTGCTGCCACTAGACGAGTCGGTGTAAATTTTAATATTTTCACAATTTAGCACGTTCAGAGTCGGTTTTGGCACACTGCAAGGCATCAAAAATGTAACACTCGGTATGTGCGATGAATAATAGTAATTCAATCCTTACCTATCATTCCCGCTGTAGCAGAAATTTGGCACACTGAATCCTACGACCTCATTCTCCTTGTTCCCATCGGCACTATCAGGCGGCTTTTTCTTCCCATAATGATAGTAATCCATTAAGGCAATATTCGGTAAACTTCGAGACACTTTGCTTTTCTTTTCCCGCCGCAGATTGGAGCGGGAATTAGAATGATGGATTGTCTGTCGTCTTTTGAGGGCACATTTATCCTGTTTTGGTTTCAATATATCTTCCAGCAGGAAATTTGGATGAGATTCGGATCGCTTGATACTTCCAATGAGGTTGCATTCATCTTGTGCGTACAAACTAGGATCGATTCGGGACAGTAGCGTTGGTTGACCTCTTTCCAATGCGTTGAAACAAATCATCATCGCGTCTGCATAGCTTTCATCGCGGAGAAACGCCGTTGACTCATAACATTGGCTCATATGTTCCTTATCAGTGACGAGCCAGTTGAGATTCTTCGACAGACAGCGTTGTAGCACGCATTGGAATATCCACAACAAACCATAGTCTTCGCTAACAACTGTGGCGGCTCTAGCTCGTTTTACATGTAACGATATAGCGGGATTCGAGAATTTAAGGCCCTTAATAACTTCCCAAACATCCGGCTCGTTCTGGAAGAAAGTATAAAGCTCAATGTTTACATTCGAAACGCCCACTATTGGCTGATTGATTGCAGCTTACCTTCTCGGTGAATATCATGATTTTGTGCGTGAATATTCGTTTGATACAGCGATAAAGCGGTTCGAGCCTATCCGGGTCGTATCCCAGTATGGAACTATCATCGGCATCTCCAGGTGGAGTCCCTTTGAAACGGATGTGGCTCCGCAATTCATTGGTGACTGTAATTAACTCATGCAAAACTTCTTTGCATTCATGTGATGTGCTGTTCGACGATTTTGCGACGAACTCCATATGTTTTTAGATGCACTAGAACGAACGTTCTGTAATAAATCAATTCAATGTTACTGATTATTTTCACAGCAACATTCGCTAATAATATTGTTATTAGTCAGCTCACGAGATTAAAATCACTAGCAATCTGTAACAAAAATGACATTGTGGAATTGGCATTGACGAGCGCTCTATAACTCTTTACTCCTATGGAGAAATCTCATATGTAACTGTCAGTCTATGTGTGAAACATGGCGGACTTTTTCTTATTCTATCACTCCACCGCAAAATGTGTGTGAAGAAACGTCACTTCGGGACTGGTGTTAAGGCGAATTTCTGGAGGCAATCATTACAAAATATCACGCACACTCCTATAGACCTTTTTGACGTTTAATCATCTTTCTCTATCTAGCACACATGGATGAATGGACGGTTTGTTTTCCCACTAATCTGTTTCCCTTTTGCTCGCACTCGTTCACTTTAGATGATACAGTAGTGTGCGCCGATTAAACGTCAAAAAGCTCTATACTAGCAATGAGCTGGATTACCGAGGTGAAGCAATCGATTAAGTTGTGTGAGTAAAACCCCTGTACGATACAAGCAAGTAGTGACGTCACTACTTGCGTTTACGTTGATTTTTTGGTTTACTTAACAACCATATTTCACGATCTGCTTGACCTCTCTCTGTACCTCATTGCTATACTAGTCCGACGAGTCCGACAAACACAAACATAACAAAGTCTCGGTACTGAAATTACTTGAATTTTGCAAGCAGTGACACGGCCACTGAGCACTACTCACACACTAAGATTATTTCCCAGATTTCTGAGAAATTTTACCAAAATCTCAACAGCTGAACGTTCGATAAACAGTTCGGTGCTTTTTCCGAGGGTTTTTTTACAGTTCTGGATCAACAATAGAAAAGGGCCCATCAGCATTTGTAAACAAACCGTTCCAAAGCCCTTTACTCACGAAACGAAGGCCACCCACGCAAACCAACTCCATCATCAGATACGGGAAACTTCTACCTACACGATGATGGTGTTGGTTTGTGTGAGTGGCCTTCGATTTATGAGGAATGGGCTTTGGAACGGTTTGTTTACAAATGCTGATGGGCCCTTTTCTATTTTTGCTCCAGAGTTTTCCTGGATCCTGGATTCCTTCTGGTCTTAGAGTTACCTCTAGGGTAATACCATAAGGGTGTAATACCATAGAGGTAACTTTTTTTTTTTTTTTTTTTATTATAGTCTCTTTAACGCACTTGGGTCATTCGTGACTTGTCTGGGGGTGAGATTTGCACTCGTGACTTTGGCGTGAGAGGTATGGATGCTAACCAATACGCCGGGGTCGCCCCATAGAGGTAACTTCTTATACCACTCGCTATTTCAAAACTGCCCAAATTTGGGTACAATCCACTCAGATCGGTCAAAACAGAACCTACCCAAAAATAGGTAATCTGTGTTGGAAGTGACAAGTTGACAAATGAACATCATCGATCGAATTCATGTCGATGTTCTTCATTTGTCAACTTGTCACTTCAAACACAGTATACCCATTTTTGGACAGGTTCAGTTTTGACTGATCTGGGTGGATTCTACCCAAATTTGGGTAGTTTTGAAATAGCGTGTATATAGTATCGAGTGAACAACGTGTGTGCGGGCGTGCAGTAATTTCTAGAGATATTTTTGCGAGAATATTCATTATTTCTGAATATTCAGATAACACAATAGTATCCTAGAATGAAACGTTCTTTAGATTACAAAAATAAAGTAATTTTAGCACCTATGGTGCGTGTAGGAACGTTACCAATGCGATTACTCGCACTGTCTTACGGAGCGGACATTGTTTACACCGAGGAAATAATCGACTGGAAGCTGCTCAAATCGGAAAGACGAGTAAATGGTAAATATTCGGTTCGGATTTTATCGTAGAAAGACTGCATACAAAAAATTACCTTCTTAATAGATGTTCTGAAGACGATTGATTATGTGGATAAAACTGATGGTACTATTATCTTTCGGACATGCGATCAGGAAAAAGGGAAAGTAGTTCTTCAGTTGGGAACTGCCAATGCGGAGAGAGCTCTACAGGTTGGTTTGAAACTGCAGCAGGATATTGCCGCTTTGGATGTGAACATGGGCTGTCCGAAAGATTTTTCGATTAAGGGAGGCATGGGAGTTGCCCTGTTGTATGACTTGGAACGTGCCAAGGGCATCCTCAAGACATTGGTGGATAATCTAGACATTCCGGTTACGTGCAAAATACGAATCATGCCAAAACTGGAAGACACTTTTCGAACAGTGAAGGAGCTGGAATCGACGGGAATCGCAGCGATTGCCGTTCATGGAAGAACAAAAATAGAACGGCCTCGCCATCCGGTTCATCCAGGTGAAATTTAAATTCTGTGCTGAATATGGGCGTTCCATTAACTTCGGTTATCCAATGTTACAGATATTATAAGGGAAGTAGCGAAAGTGACGAAAATTCCAGTTATCGCGAATGGTGGATCTCAGGAAATGAACAAGCGATCGGATATACTAAAATTTCGAGATGCTTGCGGTGCGTCCAGTGTTATGGTAGCAAGAGCCGCCCAGTGGAATTGTTCCATTTTCCGCGAGGAAGGACCTCTACCTATAGAAGAAATTATCGATCAATACCTTCGGCTTGCGGTGGATTACGACAATCCACCCTCAAATACAAAGTACTGCGTGCAGATGATTTTGAGAGAATTGCAAGAGACGAAAGAAGGACGTAAGTTCCTGGATAGTCAAACTTTGGAACAAATTTGGTAAGAATCACAAATCAAATATTAAGCGTCCATAGAATTGATTGAATTGCTTTGTTTTTAGTGATGTGTGGAACCTTGGCTCATACTGCAGGGAAAAACAGCTCGAATACCACAATGCTGGCATACAGGGACGGCGACAGGCTTGTCCTGGTCTGGCGGCAGAGGAACAGGACGAAAATTGTCCATCGAAGAAAGCAAAAATGGAAAATTACGTAGATGAAGATGTGATCCAGCATAACATTTGTTTCATCCGGGCCAACTATAATGATGGTGAGCATGTGAGAGTATGAATGCATCAGGACAACTTTTCAATGGTTTACTTTGTATTTTAGACCGCGAATTACCTAAAAGTAAGCTGTATTTGTACACGGTGAAGAACAATCTAAAACTACCGAAGTACGAAGTTGTTCAAAAAGTTAAACTGTTCCGGGCAACCGTTCTAGTGGGCGACACAAAATATAGCAGTTCATTCTGGGAAAAGAGCAAAAAGTATGCAGAACATTCTGCCGCCCTTACCAGTCTGCTGCATTTGGGCATCATTAGCAAAGAGAAGCTCATTGAAAAAGGGTCTATGATAGGGTAATTCAAGCTTTCCACAGTTTGCCGTAGGTTGCTAAATCGAAATTTTATTTCCAAGATATTTCTGTTAAGTTTGATTTACATAATTGTAAATATGTAGCATGCAAAGAAGCTGAACTATTAAAAAAGCCTAAACAATCAAGTTACACAGAATTGAGTTTATGGACAACCGCATTCTTCTACAATCATCTTCGAAAGGTCCTGTTTAATGACACGCGAGTCTGGTCCGTAGAAAATGAGCGACATAGGTGAGTACTTTGTCGGTGCACAGCACTGGTGAATTCCGGTTAGTTGTCCTTGCCTCCGGAACTCATCGACAACGTACTGATACTCGGCCGAGAACTTGTCCGGCAGTAGACAGGTTCCCTTGCAGTAATTGGCAAAGTATCCATGCGGGCGTATGATCCAATCGTCCCACTTGAGTGCCTTGAAGTCAACGTAGAATTTCTGCTTACAGCACTGCTCGTTTGGTGCCCCAGTGCAGTCTAGTGCACGCCTTCGCAATCGCTTCACGTGGTTCGTAGCTAGGCTTACAAACAGATAAGGTCGATTGTAATCGATAAAATTTTCCGGTTTCTTTTTTGGATTCATCTTTTGAGCCTTCAGGAATGATTCCTTGACTTTGTTCTGGTTTTCATCGAACAAATGGATGGTGATTTTGTTTCCACAGCCAGAGCAATCGACATATAGTCGCAAACTGTCGTTGGTTTTCTCCGAATGCCAAGCTCGAACGGCATTTGTGACGTCGATTTCTTGCCAACCAAGCTTTTCCACTGAGATCGTGTGCTTTGTTACCATAGCCGTATGTTTGGTAAATTCCTGCTTGAAAATAAATCAGAATCAAATATAAATTCAGAGTGATTTGAGATTTGGGCGTAATTGCTTTTGTAAACAAACAGGTCAATAGCCGATTTCTCGCGAATAAAATCTCAATCCCAGTGCAGTCTAGTGCAAACTATACGCAGTAAAGTTCGATCTCTCGATGTGTTTTCCGTCGATCTTGTTTTCCGTACTGAAGTACCAATGCTACCGACGTCAGGGAGGCAGTTCTAACCCTGAACCCTAGCTAACCGACCCATCAACTCATGGACCGAGGACCAACGGGTTTACTTGACCAGAGATTTTATGCCTCAGAAAATTCCGACGGCGCCGACTGGGATTGAACCCAGACCCATTGGGGTGAGAGAGGCAATCACGCTTACCACTACACCACCGGTGCCGCTAGTGCAAACTATACCAAATGGTAGAGGAATCATTCCTCACCTGATTTTGTTACTAGTTTTCGAGATTGACGAAATTTGCGATTGACGTGTTTGTTTACAAAAGCAATTTCGCCCAAATATCGAATCATTTCGGAAATGCTCCAGACCCACCTCTTCGTCGTTCAGCACATTCTTGGAGCCACTAATCAACCGGAAAACCCATAGGATGAGATTCTTGTTTCCATACGAAGCCCAATAGTTGTCCACGTGTTTGACCTTCAGCTCCAGTCGTATCCATAGAGTGGCATTGTAGATCCGTATTCCGTGCGTGGTGGAGGGCAAGGAATTAAGCGAAGGGAATACAAAAAACTGATGCCCTGGAGCTGCTTCACCTAGAGTTTAATTTATGAAACAATGGTTAAATGCCAAGCAAAAAAAAAACCATTAGTCTTTGGGAATAAACATATATAGGGAAAAGGCAATTTATTTAAAGCTTGCGAGTTGTTCTATTGTTTTATTTTTTGGCTTTATTCATATTGGCTACGGTGTCGTGTTTGGTGAAAATCATAAAAAAATAATGTAAATTAGATAATGCTGGTTAATCATAATGTTTATGCATATTGCTTGCTGTTCGGGATCCGTTGTAAGTTAATGTTGTATTTCTGGTCCTCTTCGATGGGTTTTGCGCTGCATGAGCTGAAAGAAATTAAATGAGAAACGTGATTATTAGAATATTTCATCATCGCTCATTGCCCATTAAAGATCTGGGACCGTCAGTGTTGGAAAGGTCATAGTCATCTGAAAAGCGTGGGGCACAATAGAGGCTGCCCATAATCTACGAATTTCCCACGATTTTGAAATCGCTTGTTGGCCGAAATCCTTGTCTCCGAGAAAACAAAAGAGTGAACTATAGTGCAAGAGCAAATTTTCATTACGTCGAAAGTAACAAAGGTAAACAAAGTCAAGCCATCAGTGTCAATCGATTCTCCTGCTATTACACTATATACTGTCCAAATATAGGATCAAATCCCATTTTTAAATATATTTACCAGTCAAATTGCTTTTTGACGTAATCACCTTCCGATCAAAATAGTTGCCGTTTGACTTAAGTAACAGCGCTGAGAAATCCGTGAAAAGTGTACGTTCGTTGTTTCGCTTTCTCATTATTAAAGTGAATAAATCGAACTGTTTGTTGAACCGGCGCCGGTGGCTTAGTGGTAAGCGTGACTGCTTTCTAACACCCCGATGGGTCTGGGTTCAATCCCAGCCGAGGTCGGTGGGATTTTTCTGAGGCATAAAAATCTCTGGTCACGTCTTCCTTCGGAAGGGAACTAAAGCCGTTGGTCCCGGCCCATGTGTGTTGTGAATGGGTGCGATATCCTACGCAGGTGTGGAAGCTGCCTTCCTGCACATTCGATTGCCGTCAATGGATGGCAATCGATGTCCGTCGGTGATTGGCACTAGATTGCAGAACAGAGACCGACGTTGAATAAAGGACAAGGAAAAACTGTTTGTTGAATGGGCTGCATGTAAGGAGACGTAATTGATAATTCTCCCGAATATCCTGGTAAATACACTTTGACTTAAGTAACAATAGGGGCCACCAAACGACGTATAATAACTTTTGACTCAAAAACCAGTATTTTTTAGCATGAAAGCTAGCGATTTGCATTTGTATGATTAAAACCCTGCTAAATATGTTAAACATTGCTATCACTATGAGATTATATGGTTATCAAAACAAAACTTTATTTTTCTCGGATTGGTGCGAATGTTACTTACGACATAATGAAAATTTGCTCTTGATTGTTAATACAGTATATTTTCCATGACCCAACGATATGGCCATTTCCGTAGAATAGGTGAATGCGGTCATATTTGTCATTCACTGTAATATGATAATTGACAGCTCTTTCTTCGTGGTTTCTAATAAATAGGCTTATTATAGTCTTGCAATGGATCGTTGGCTAAATTTGGCGTTCTTAACAAAAATCCGAATGCCTCTGGGAAACCTGTCAGAGTGGACAATTATATTTTTACATCAAACTATGCCATTAGACAGCTGTTTCTTCATTATTGTTAGTAATTTCTTAATATATTATTTCTTTTCGTTGCTCCCTAGTTTGAAGTGGTTAATAGTACGTTCAGACTACAGAGTTATAACATGTTATAGCGCTATCTTGATGGTGGTTTCTGTGTTGCAATTAGTTGACAACCGTTATAACATGTTATAACTCTCCAGTCTCAGCGTTTAAGACTAGGGTTCTGATGCATGGTCATTATCGGTGTCATTGCTTATTTTTGTTGCTAAGGAAGGTTTGGAGGGTTTTCCAACACTCCGAAGAGTATAAATAGCGGGACCTTTCAATTAGAATAGATTTCTTGCGATAGAGGCAAGAATGACAACTGTATCAAAAACAGTTCTGGAAACGATAATGCGATTATCATTTGTGTTACATATCATGGCGGTCATCTCTGATCATCATCATGATCATCAGTGGTCACTGAAAATTTCCCATGAAGGACATGGCAAATCAAATGCCCCATAATATGTCTGCCGCCATTTGGGAATCCAAGATAGCGGTCATTGATTTTAGAAAAAAAAAAATACCCTACAATATGGGCATTTTTTAACGGGAATGACGTGTAGATGTCAAAAATCGATGCACACTGCCATTTTGACTGCTTTTTTTTTTCTAAAACCAATAGCCGTCATCTTGGATTCTTAAATGGCGGTGGACATCGATTTTCTACATCTACACGTCATCCCGGTTCCAAAAATACCCTATTATAGGGTATTTGATAGTTTTTCTGAAACCAATTGCCGCCATATTGGATTCCAAAATGGCGGCAGACATTGATTTTCGACATCTACTCGTCATCCCGGTTCCAAAAATACCCTATTATAGGGTATTTGATAGTTTTTCTGAAACCAATTGCCGCCATATTGGATTCCAAAATGGCGGCAGACATTGATTTTCGACATCTACTCGTCATCCCGGTTCCAAAAATACCCATATTGCAGGGTATTTGATAGTTTTTCTACAACCAACGACTGTCATATTGGATTTCAAAATGGCGGCAGACATTGATTTTCGACACCTACACGTCATTCCGGTTCCAAAAATACGGTATTTGAACTCCAGAACAACTTTTCCGAAGACAAAAATCTCTTAGATTTCGGGATACATTACACAGTGACTGTTATCATATCAGTGGATTATCGTAACACAAATGATAATCCATGATCTCACTGTACACTGATTGTTGGCCACCGACAGCATCGCGCGCGCCGCATGCAGGGATAATAAGGGAGTGTCAGGTTTGACCGAGGGTTTGACGCACTGTCACCCCGGGTGAGTAAAACGCACCTGCTATTTCAATTTTTCAGTGTACCACATGGCAACACCACTACTACTGGATTGTACCACATGGCAACACTACTACTGGATTGTACTAGCATTTTCACCAAATGTATTAGAATGTTTTGGTTCTATCTCTTTCACTCTACTCAAAACTGAAATGCATAAAAAAATGACAAAATGATACACTCTTTGCACACTGTCAAAGAATCATTGTACACAAAATCAACTTTGTTCAAATCAAAACAAAAAAACTAACCCATCTGGTGGATGATGGCACAAGCTTCCAAGAAAATTCTATTACAGTGAACCACATTATTTTAATGGATTTCTTCGCCAGTAAGTCGTCTGTCACTTCGTTTGTGATATAACTTACTTATAACTTATACTTTTTTCTTACCGTGTAGATTAGTAATCCAAAAAAACAACGTACATATATGCAATTTGTGACGTAGGTTGCATGTACGTACAGTGGTGTCATGCAGTTGTGTGTGCCCGATTACTTCACCCCGGTAATCCAGTTCATTGAGTTCTACACTCTCGAGGCAAGGTTTCGGTAAAATAAAAGTAAGACTAACGCAACAATTTAGCTGAATTAAAGACATACCTCAAAATATCTGTATATTCTTTTACCCAATCCAAAACTCTGTATATCTGTATATACAGATTCTTGGTTTAAAAACTGCTAAAAAATCTGTATAAATACAGATTATTGTGTATTTTTGGCGTCCCTGCACGCATAGGCTGAAGCAAGAAGAACCAAACGAATCGTCAAACATGGTCAAACGCTGAACCAAACGAGCAAAGTAAATAAACATTACTGTTCGCTCAATTCACCAGAAAGGAGTATTGTTTTCAATGATGATAATTTCACGAAATATTTAATATCTGTTATTTCAAGCGTTACGTATCTGCTTTTTTTAAATAATCACATCAACAAACGATGCGTCTTAACTGCTAACTCACCCACGCAAACAAACACCATCATCAGGTAGGGGAATCTTTTCCCTACTAGCTGGTGTTGTTAGTTTCTGTGAGTGAGCTAGCAGTTTCCACAAATCATCGATTGAAGTGATTGTTTACAAAATCAAATACGTCGATTTGCATTGGCAAATCAAAGTTGGCACTCGTGGAGAATAGAAGAACTATGAAAGTGATGATGGTTTCAAAATTTTCCTCGGGGAGTTATACGAGTGCAATCTTGAACACAAACGAAGTGACAGACGACTAACTGGCGAATAAATCAATTAAAATAATGTGGTTCGCTGTAATAGAATTTTCTTAGAAGCTTGTGCCATCATCCACCAGATGGGATAGTATTTTTGTTTGGTTTTGCACAAAGTTGATTTTGTGCACAATGATTCTTTGACAGTGTGCAAAGAGTGTATCATTTTGTCATTTTTTTATGCATTTCAGTTTTGAGTAGAGTGAAAGAGATAGAACCAAAATATTCTAGTACATTTGATGAAAATGCTAGTTCAATCCAGTAGTAGTGTTGCCATGTGGTTCAATCCAGTAGTAGTGGTGTTGCCATGTGGTACACTGAAAAATTGCAATAGCAGGTTAGTCACCAAAGTTTTCGAGCCGCTCCGTCTGTCACTTCGTTTGTGCTTTTACCTTGCATATTATAGCAAAAAAGAACTTCATGATACTATTGGTATTAATTGTGATTATACTATTAATATATGTTGTAGCTGTACCTACATAATGATAATACGTAGGCAGCGAGCGGTGAAAGGAGCAACCATGTGTGCTGTAACGGGCCTGCGTGAATCTCCAGAGTAGCTCTTAAGAAGCCATGGTTGTCCGTAAAAAATATCAAAAAGAGATTGAAGTGGGCCCAGAACCACATTTCATGGACCAGTAGCTTTTGCCAGTTTTGTGATGTTCAATAATCAAATTTCGGATACTG